TATTTAATATCATTATTATGAAGTAATTGAAAAAAGCTGCTAATATTTTATAATAATATTATATTATCATTATATTATATATCATAATTTCTTAAACAATGACAGGAAATGATTTGAATAATTAAAAATTTCATAAAAAAATTAATAATGGTTATTTTGTGTTGTTAAAGGTGGTTATTTGGCATAAACATGTCTCTTACTCTCTGATCAAAGTGCCTAAATTCAGTCAACAGAGCGCCGTAACCACGTTAAATCAGCATGCAGACCATCCAATAGTATCTGGATGCAACCTTTATGATGCAAGCTGAGATTGCATCAATCAGCGATGCGATGTCAGACTCAATGCACTCAATGGAGTGAGTGACGTCACGCTTAGGGGTGGGGTTAGGTGAGCGCATTAAATAGCATTGGATGCAGCTCAGATTGCACTGCACCAGGTCTGCATCCAGACCCCTCTCAGACGAGATGGTCTCAGCCTGAGCTGGAGATAAAAAGAGCCCGTTTTCCAGATGCTTTCATGTGCTGTTTTGACTCTCAGCCATAAAGAGCAAACAATCAATATAAGAAACAGCGCCTCCATCTGCTCTAATGGACACAAAACACAGAGCAGGAGCTTTTTCAGTCCACATTTACGCTCACATCTGCTCATAACCATTCAGCTCCATCATGATTTTCCTCTTTTAGTTGCTCTTCACATGCATCAGGCTTTATTAAAGGTTTGCTTTGAGGTGAATAGCCAACAGTGAAGTCACACAATTACAGCTGAATTGTGGCTGAGATTTCAAAACCTGGGGACGAATTAGCCTGTTATGTTATTTTAAAGGGAGAGTTCACCCAAAAAATAATAATCTGTCAATACTTACTCACCCTTTGGTTGTTTTCAGAGCTTTACAAGTTTCTTTCTTCTGTTGAACACTAAAGAAGATAATTTAAAGAATGTTGAAAACCTGTAACCATTGACTTCCAGTTGTTTTTCCTACTCATAAAGGTTTGGACTTAACTGAGGGAGAGTACATTTTTAATTTTTGGGTTGAACTGTCTTTTAAAGCTGGGCTCAGACTATTCTTTCATTTTCCTTCAGCTTAGTCCCTTTATTTATCATGGGTCACCACAGCGAAATGAACCGCCAACTAATCCAGCATATGTTTTACGCAGCGAATGCCCTTCCAGCCGCAACCTAGTACTTGGAAACA